TCAGGGTTTTGGGTTTAAGGGTTTTGGGTTTAGGGTTTAGGGTTTAAGGGTTTAAGGGTTTAGGGTTTTGGGGTTTTGGGTTTGAGCTCAGGATGTAGGAGCTGTAGTGTAAACTCCTTAAAAGGGGTTATATAGGGGATTACATAGGGAGTATCAAACGGGTTATAAGGGGGGATACTAGCAGTTGAGACTATAGCTTACATTGGATTCAGGAGTTAGGACTTAGGATTTCTACCAGGCTTCGGGTTTAGGGTTCAATGAATAGGGTTTCGGATTTGAGGCTGATTCTAAAGGTATTCTAAAGGTGGTTTCAAAGGCTGGAACATTTGGGAGTACGCTTCTTAAAGGGAGATCCCAACTAAAAAACTACCTTCTGGCCATGTTGGAACAGGTATTTGGAACAACTACCATATGAGCTACCGTCAAAACTATCCCTCTCGTAGTTTAGTGAAGTTCCTAATAGATTCCTCACTGGGAATCCATTTCCATTCAATTATGTAGGAAATATTAGCCCTGAACCCTATCCTTTAGGTGGACCCCCCACCCAGTAATAGTGACTATAAGGGATAATGGGGATTATGTTCGGGTCCTCTTGTATTCTTATTATGCCACTATTACAGGGTGGGAGGTTCCTCCTAAACCCTATCCTATGTATACCGAGTAAAATATGTAGGCAGTATCGACTGTAATCAGCCCACATGGTTCAGTGGCTTCGGAAGACGAGGATGAAATTATATGTTCTGGGTTTAGGGTTTAGGGTTTAGGTTTTAGGGTTTTAGGTTTTAGGGTTTAGGGTTTAGGGAGGTAATGGCGACTACAAGAGATAGTCGTCTTTTTTCTACAGTCTCTATACATGTCCATCATACCAGTAGTACAGGACTGGATGGGGCCTCACCTAAGAAGTATTCCTATAAGTGGTCATTGTTGAACATAGTTTCAGCTTCGTTTTCGTAGCCCAATAAGGGATCTCAAAGCTTACTAGCCTACTTCACATGTTGTGTCAACCCTAGACCCTAGAACTCCTAGACCCAGGAGAACACCATGACATTCTGTGAGCCCAAGGGCCTAGGGATGACTGTCACCCTTAGGGTTAAGGGGTTTTGGGTTTAGGGCTTAGGGTTTAGGGCTTAGGGTTTACGGGTTTTGGGTTTAAGCTTAGGGTTTAGGGGTTTGGGGTTTAGGCAGCAATTTCCAATAATGAACCCCCCCTCCCCATCTCCTAGTAGTACCCCGCCCCACCCTCCGGCGGTCTACTGTAGGGTTTAGGGGCCCTCAATAAAGTGCTCTGAACCCTGAACCCCTACGCCCTGGGGGCGTTGTTGCTAGCGGCAGAGGCTTACTTCTACAACCTCTAGTATAGAGGCGGTTAGGGTTTAGGGTTTAGGTTTAGGGTTTAGGGCCGGGCCTCACATACATGAGTTAATGTAGAGGCCTGAGTGATTATTGTCCACAAAGAGATCTTCTGCAACTATACTATGGTATAGGGTACTTCACAGAGATCCCAACATGATAGTGTTAAACTATTCAGGCTTCTCCATTACCAGGTAGATGTTGCCCATCGGCGGTAAGTGTTTGAAGCTCATGTACATGTAGACAGAGCTGGGCGGGTACATGCTCTTTTAGCATGCTAGGTATGGCTTGCGGGTGAAAGCACAATCATGGCGAGAAATGAACAATGATATATATATATATACAAATTCAGTTGTTGATGTATTCATTTATGTTCTTGGGGGTGGTCAATATTTTGGATTGTTTAGGCTCTCTGTAAAGTGGTGTCCATGGAGGAAGCAGGGCCTGCAAGAGAGGTCATATAACCTGTAGTCTAAACTCCTTCAAGGGGGATTCTATAAGGGATTACATAGGGGCTACTACAAGGTTTTTTAAGGGGGATACTAGGAGTTTAGACTATAGCTCATAGGAAGATTCCCGAGTAAAGATAGGGTGTAGTTATTGGCCTTGATTATCTGGGAATGTGCAGGAATATGGCGGTTTAGGGGCAGTAGGGTTACTGCTTCGCTTCTTCACCAGCTAACCCTGCGCCCCCAACGCGGGCCCCACGCTAGCTCTTCTCAAGTTCCCTCTGAAAGTCCTAATTGAAGGAGGAGGGGGATTAGCAGTGGAGGCAGGGGGTACTTGATTAGCTTAGAGTTGCCTATGACCCCGTCATCCATCTCCAAGACCAAATGAGCCCGGAGAGCTTGCCACTGCAATAAGCCGGCTTTGAAAGATGGTAGTCTTCACAAGCGCAGCAAAAAAGTAACACAAGATGAGTGGATGCACCAGTCATACATCATGACATGACACGACAGCATGCAGTAGGATACAGTAGACTTTCCTGTGGTACCCGGAATGGTCCCTGTAGACTTTTCCATATGATCCAGGTCCAATTTTCAGACTAGGGTATGGGTAAAGCTTTAAACCCTAAAAATTCACCGGCGAGGTGCGTCAAAGCCTTTAAGGACGCAAAGAACCCATGCCACACCGCCTTCCCCCGGTCCGGGATTTCTGCTCCCGATGAGCACCTTTGCCTTTTATCTAGGGGATGTGGAAAAAGGGTTTGCAAGCTATGCTTGTTAAAAAAACGGGCGCCATAAACACTTCATCAGAACTTTTGGGAGGGTTCCAGGGCAGATAGATTTTCTGTTCCACTTGGGCTTCTGTTTTGGAGGAGACAACGAAGAGGGCATAGTTTTCTTTCCAAGAAGTCATGCATTTGCGTTACACTTTTCAAGTTTGTCTTTCTGTCTTGTGCCCAGACATCCCAGCAAGCTATGAACATTTCGTGACAATGAAGGGCATGAGGATTAGTGGGAGCTTTCAGGGTGGCAGCTTTTGGGTTTCGGGGCTTAGGGTACCCAATAACCCTAAACCCTAAAAACCCTAAACCCTAAACCAATAATAAAGACTGTGCTGTTGCGGCTCTGACTCCTGGGGGACTCTGATGGAGGGTTCCTTCTCAATCCCATGATGCGACAAAATAAAACCCAGTGACTCTTTTCTTACTTAGCCAATAGAAAAACGCGGTCTAGGGTTTAGGGTTCAGGGTTTAGGGTTTAGGGTAACCTTTTTGGGTTTCCTTTTTGGGTCTCTATAAAATTTTAAACTTTTTTAGCCCTGGTTATTGGCGAAGAGAGTTGACCAACCCCAACGAGTCTGTCTCCACCTGAGTGGTTGTCAAAATTATGGTCCCTTTTTGGATCCCTATTATAATACGGCCCCGAATATTTAGGGTACCCAAAAAGGGACCACATTTTTGACAACCACCCACCTTGTGACTACAGGTATTGCGCCTTGAACAAGAAGCAGTGTGACAGCTGCAATGGTGCTTGGTGCCTTGGGGATGACAAGAACCGTAGGAAGCGCACGGTCAGTTTAGGGTTTAGGGTTTAGGGTCCAGGGTTTAGGGTTTAGGGTTTAGGGTTAAATAATCTGTTGGACAATTGTAAATACGAGTTGCCAGATCATGATGCACTTGCATTGAGCACAATGACAGTGCTGAGTACAAGCACGGTACTTCTGATGATGCGAGTAGTGTAAGAACATTGGTAGTGCTAAGAACAGCACAGGTTGCCAGAGTAACCATGTAAGCAGAACGACCTTTTACCGGAGCCAAAGTTAGTTGGAGACCACAACCAAACACCAAACCCTAATCCTTACCAGTACTAGCAACACTCCCTAAACCCTAAATCCCAAACCCTAAACCCGAAGTCTCAAACCCTAAACCCTTCCATATGCCCCTGGAGCTCTGATAAAGGTGTGCTGTTTCGAACATCACCTACTCAGACGGCACCAAGTATCTGGCTCATTGTTGATCGTCTAGTTAAATTAGGGTTTAAGTTTAGGGCTTGAATACATTGAGACAGCTTTACTGCTGCTACTTCAGGTTAAGATGTATTTTTGCGTCGTTTCTTTTCTACGAAATACCAACATAGATACAAAGCTATGGTTCTCAAGAACATCTCAATAAGCCTAGACCCTAAGCTTAAGACCATCCGATAGGCATGAAAGGATATGGGCCAAGGACTGAGTTTTATGTTTTTTTATAGTTTCAGTACACTTTGCACTTACACTTTTGCGACACCATACATGTCCCAGTGTCTCGGCGCAGTACCCTTTACACTTTTGTTCTCCTTTCCATGCACATTCGTTTATGGATTGTTTATATGTGGTTTTAAATGTTTTTTTTGTTTTTCTTTTTTCGTTGGTTTCCTCGATGTTTCTGGAAGCTCAAAATCTTGCGGCAAACCCGTGACAAATACCGGAAAGTTGAGGTCTTTCAATCATTTGTAAATGGTTTTCGTGGATTTTCGGCTCTGGAAGCTCTCAAAATCATGGGGAATCGAGGAAACCATAAAAATCAATTAAAAGAATAAACAAAAACAGAAATGAAACATACAAGAAAAACACAACCATTAAAAAAACATGAATCCAAAGTGTACATAAACAATACAAAACGTAAAAATGACTAATTGGGAATTACTGGTTCTTGCTGCAATAGATGGCCTTGACCCCAAACCCTAAACCCTTAAAGCATCTTCTGGGCTTGCATGCTGTACTTACCCCACGCCCCAAACCTTAGAACCCTAAACCTTGAAATCCTAAATCCTGAGCCCTAAACTCTAAATCCTAAGCCTTAAACCCTAAACCCGAAATAGTAGCTTCCATTCTATTTTCAATTCTCCCAACAGAGCCCCGACATATACCCTATAATTCCTATAGAACCTATATATAATCCCTATAGTTTCCATTTTCTTTTCCATTATCCCAATATCCAGGTACACCCTAAACCCTAAGCCCTAAACCTTAAGCGTGGAACCAGGTACGATCCCAACAAGGCTTGGGCTCCTGAGAACGATCAGCGCCTGGAGGACGAGGACGAGGCAGAGACCGAGGAGGCCCAGGAGGAGCGCCGCCCTGCACCGGCGTAAAGGGTTAGGGTTTAGGGCTTAGGGTTTAGGGTTCAGGGTTAGGGTTTAGGCTTAGGGTTTAGGGTTAGGGTTTAGGGTTCAGGGTTAGGGTTTAGGGTTTGGGTCGGTTTAGTGTTGGGGTTTAGGGGTAAGGTAGTAACACTGAACCAACTGCAGCAACAACGATGGAGACAAGAACGCCGACGTTAAAAGCCTGTAGAAGTGGTAAGAGACTGCACACAGAAAAACTAGTGGCAGTACATACGAATATTCCCTGCAATCGGTGCAGCATCCGGTATGATCCCGGTCATCCCTTCTTCTAATCCCTAAACCCTAAACTGAGCCATCTGGAGCAACATATGGGTAGTACACAAATTAGGGTCCCTTTTTGGTACCCCTAAGTATTAGGTGCCGAAATATAACCAAAAGAAGCCTATAATTTTGAGAACAATCCATATTCGGTTATTACATGATACAGCAACCCTAAACCCTAAATACCTAAATCCCCTAAACCCTAAACCCCAGACCCTAAACCCCAGAGGACAGCAGTCTTCACAGGCGGTTTAGGCATCGGCATGGTTCCATGTCAGTTGCGAGGTTTAGGGTTTAGGGTTGAGAGTTTAGGGTTTAGGGTTTAGAGTTTGGGGTGTAGGGTTTAGGGTTGAGGGTGTAGCCTTAAGGCTGTAGGGCTCATTGTCTGTTAGGCTCAAAACCTTCATCCCTAAACTCTCAAGTTTGAATAAGCTTGCAATTTCTTAGGGTACCATTTCCTGTCTTGCACTTTCTTTCAGCTTTGAAAACCCTAAACCCTAAGGCCAGATCCTAAGTAATTGGAACAAGCCATGTCGATGTGGCTGCCAGGAGGTGAGCCAAGATGATACCATCGAGGACCTTTTTCCAGGAGGCTTCAAGGGTTCTAGGTTTAGGGTTCAGGGTTCTAGGGTTTAGGGCTTAGGGTTTAGGGTTTAGGGTTTAGGGTTCAGGGTTCTAGGGTTAGGGTTCAGGGTTCTAGGGTTCAGGGTTTAGGGTACCTTTGCAGTCCCCAAAATTCATCCACACCCAGGGGTCGACAAATTTTATAGAGTACGACAACCCTGAACCACAAAAGGTTTTAGGGTTTTGGATAAACCCCCCCAAACCCCCTATACCCTCAATCCTTGGAAGGTTTGGCGGATCATGGCATGCCGGGGGAGGAGGATGAAGACGAAGCCCAGCCGATGGATCTGTACCCGTAGGTTGCCCGAGAACATCCCAGGTTCAGATTTTTTGTTGGCTGCCGTGGGCCATTCTGTTTCAATTTTGGCTACGTTCCAGGAGGAGATGCACATTTGCTGGGCCTAAGCAGGCTTCAAGAAGTGGCGGCGTGAGCTCCCTTCTCATGATTTTGAACTGCAGGGCCCACCCAATCCAAAGCTTGTGCATATCCTTTTGCCGCAATGCCTCGTTTGGCATTCGTCCACAAACGTGGAGCCAAAAGATGCAGTTTTAGTCTCCCATGGCCATCGTCGCTTAATTACTTACTGGAGGATAGCGTAGAGTGCCCGATTTTGGATCACCTTAATGGTGGTGCCCAGCCTCGAAACGGTGCTGCTGGCTTGAACATATTTAAGTGCATGCTCTTAAGCTTTCCTCTCGTCCAAGGAGGCGGCAGAGATTCAGTAGATTCTGTAGGACCGTAGGACAGTCATCGAAAGACTTCGAGCCTAAGGTGCACGTTAAAAGAGCCGAAAGGGTTTAGGGTTTAGGGTTTAACCTTGCCAAAATGGACCACCTTCCAACCTCGAGTAAGGTGGTTGTAATGATTCATCAGTCTCTCGAGCCACATGCCTAGATGGTCTGGAACACTCTTCCTCGAATTTCTGCAGGTGCTTCAGCCATGCAAAGGGCCTGCCTGTCGTGTTCCATATGAATTGAACTCGACATGTTCTCAGTTGAGGATCAATTATGCCAGTGGCTCTACAAGCCTTCCATACGCATGCAAAGTAGCTCCACCAAGTAGGCGTCACTATGCCTGACTTCAATACGGGGCAGACCCCACACCCTAAACCCTATATAACCCCATTATAGTAGTTTCCATGTTCTTCTCTATTATCCCCATTGTGTTTACACACTGCTACCGGGCCGGAGCAGCCATGCCCCACCTCCCGACATGTCTCCTGGCCTTGAATGTATCAGTTTCCCAAGAGAATACTTTCAGAGAACCATGACCCTTAGAATCCCCATATATCTTTTATATTTTCAGAGCAAGCAACCCCTGGAATCCCACATACATATATCTAGGAATCTAGGACTCCCAATTGCCCCCGCATTTAGAGAGACTCCCACATTACCTTGTTGCCATCATCAACTTTGAAAGGTCTGCTGCATCATGTAGTACCAGGCGATATGCTTCACTCGCCCTCACGGGATTTAGGGTTTGCTCCAGTCATACCATGATCCGCCAGGCCTTCCCGGGGCTTCAGGGTTGTACTCCTTGCGTGGCTTCCCCCTGGATAAAAATCCTTTCCAGAAAACCCAGGGGACTACTCAGTTTCCTTTCAGGGCCATATGGGAGGCTCCTCCGAGGGGTGCGACCTTAGGGGTTCAACCCTGGAAGCTTGACTCCAGGCTTGGGGTTTAGGGTCAAGGGGGTGTGAACAGTTTCAGGTGGGTAGTTCCATATATGCCTTACATAACCCTTGTATAGTTCTAGTGTCCCCACATAAGCCTTATACAAGGGTACCCACCTGAAACCTCCCTCAACCAGGAGGTAGGGGAACACTGCGGTGATATACAAATAAGATCTACATTCCCGTATTGCTGCTACGGCGGATGGAGGGAACCTTGCACCTCTTAGGATCACCCACATATCTAAATTATTCGGATATACTGCGTGTGTAGGATGGTGCAAGATTTCCTCCGTTGGCCCTAAACCCTGAACCCCAAAACCCAAAACCATTTATACTCATTTCACCGAGTTGTGCCGAGGAACCACAGCCAGCTGTACACAACAGAATACACGTTGTCAGGGCATAACCAACCAGGAACTGGGTTGCTGTTAAGGAACTCAAATTAAGGGCGTTTTCAGGTGGGTAGATATCAGGTAGGTACCCTAACATAAGGCTGAAAAAAGGCGTATATGGTGGCACTAGAATTATATGAGGGCTATATGATGCTTATATGTGGGAATAGCATCCACCTGAAACTTTCTTAGATTAAACTAGGCGGCACTTTGGGATGATTCAATAATTCTCCTATTGTGGTATCAGGGAACCCATTCGTACGAGAGTTTGGGTGCCTTTAAGAGTACCACGCAGAAAATTAATTTACCAGGTTATGGGTATAGGGTAACTAACAGGGTTTCCGTATGCTAACAACTTAGTTTAAGTAAACCCTAAACCCTTTGGCAGCACAGAGAACCGACCTGCCATCCAGACCAGTCTAAACGGTCTGCTCGCATCTCTGGGTTCTTGCAGCACCATATGAGCTGCATTCTAAACTCCTTGAAGGGGGTTATACAGGTGAATATATAGGGAACTACTATAGTTACTATAGGGTTTATTAAGAGGGATACTAGGAGTTTAGAAAATGGTTCATATGGCACTACGACCGACTGATGGGACCGATCAGACGAATCAACATTCCTCCGGCAAACCCTAAACCCTAAAACCCTTGGCACATCTTTTGCGGCGAGCTGCTTGTCAGCTCTCAACTTGTCTTGGATATTTTTTGGGAATACGCTTCGATTTTTTATGGACCATAATCCCTCCATGTGCCCCTATTGAGCCATAAGAACTAAATCTTTATAGGGCCCCTATGTATATGCCAGTTTTCCCAATGTTGCCTCAGAATCTCCAGTTTCATGTTTTAGCCCTAAACCCTTAGCCCGAAATACGCACTTTGGCTTGGTGCGTCCGAAGGACTGAAAGCCTCAATTGTTAAAAGGACTCTAATGGGGGCCCTAAACAGGAAACCCAAGAATACGTTAGCAATATACTAGGAACATATGGACCGTGGCAGGTATATTCCTATCATATTCCTACCATACTCTGGGGGTTACGTGTTAGTGGTGCCCATTAGGGTCCTTCAAAGGGCGATTTCCTCCAGATGAGGCGTGCTCATTCACACCAGCTGGTTGAGTAGAGGCAGCATTTGCTCCAAGGCGATGCCTATGCATAGCACAACAGCGCTGGGGATTGCGAGCTCTTTCGGCTAGCTCTGGCTCAAAACTGCTGTGACAAACCCCTGGATGCCATGCAGGATATGAGCTATTGTCTAAACTTTTTAAAGAGGGTTGTATGGGGGATTATATAGGGGAGTGCCATGGTGGTTACCAAGGGGGGATACCAGGAGTTTAGACAATGGCTCATATAATGCAGGTAGCGCTTGCTGAGAAGGCATGGCGTGTCGGCATGCCACCCATGACTCCTCCAAGCAAGGCGATGAGGCTGCTGAAGCTGGGTTGCTGCTAGGGAACTTGAATTAAATTACCAGAACAAGGAAACCCCATTATATACTGTATATCCATAGTATTGTATTGTATTGGGGAAACCATACTAATTAGTATATAGACCCATAATATGGCAACTCTTACTCCCTAAAGCCTGAACCCTAATCCCTAAACCCTAAACCCTCCATGATGGTAGCTCAATTTGAGTGTCTTAATAGCAACCCAGGAAGCAACCCAGGAAATGCAGGCGCTCTCCCAGAGGTGGCCAGCGTGCTAGCGAGGCTCTGTCTGCAGCTGGGTGGCTGTTAAGGAACCAAAAGTAATGGGCTTAGGGTTCGGGGGTCTGGGTTGGTTTTCAAAGTACTATAATCAGGAAAGCCTATGATTTCCTATATACCCACGTAATGCTTCATAAAAGTTCCTGAACAGCAATCCAGGCAGTGTGTATTGGAACCATGCTGGCAGAGGCAAGATCCTCGCTACGTGCCATGGCGTTCAAGGGTTTAGGGTTTAGGGCTAGGTACCCCAGTAGTACCCTGTTCCCTTTTTATTGGAGGTCTCCTTGTTAAAGTTGAACATGAGGAAAAAGGGTACCCTGAGTATTCAGGGGTTGCTGGGGAACCTAGGTGTCAGAAGGAGGACGGCAACCAAAGATGTCAATTGGCAGAAAAGACGGGATGCGGGCATGCAGTTGGTTTTTGCCGGCTTTAACCCAGCACAGGCCACAGCTCAGAGCCCAGCAGTTCCAGTCATTGGGCTGGGCACTTGCTGCCTCAAAGGCCCTGATTCCTTGCAGCAGGTTTCCGACGGCCTGCAAGTGGGCTACCGTGTCATAGACACTGCCAGCCATTACGAAAATGAAGCTGAAGTCGGGGAGGCAGTTGGCCGGGCAGGGCTTCAGCGCAGTGATGTGTTTATCATCACCAAGGTCTGGTTTGACGACATGGGCGAAAGGGCTCCAGAGGCTATCCAAGAGTCCTTGAAGCGTTTGAACACAGACTATGTAGATTTGCTGTTGATGCACTTCCCCGGAGCCAATGATGCTCTGCAAAGCCCAAGCGCAAACCGCAAACGCCGCGAGATGACGTGGCGAGCAATGGAAGCTGCCAAAGCGCAAGGTCAAGCCAAGTCGCTTGGAGTAGCGAATTTCACGCGCAGGCACCTGAAAGAAATGTTTGAGTACTGTCGGGACCGCCCCTCCGTTCTACAAACCGAGATCCACCCATACTTCCAGCAAACAAAGCTGGTTGAGTTCTGCAGACAAAACAGCCTTCAGCTCCAATCCTTCTCGCCCCTGGCACATGGAGAGCTGAACCTTTTAGAGGACACTGGATTAAGGTTAGGGATCCTGTATATTTTTGGGCAGTGGGATTCCTTATGCTTATACAGAATGATCCTTTTTCTTCCTAGGGCATTTTGGGCTAAAAAACCTTAAGCCCTAAACCCAACACCCTAAACCCAACACCTAAACCCTAAACCCCAAAAACCCTCCAACCCGTGGTTTCAGGACAGGGTTTTGAAGACCATTGCTGTAAGTCACCAGAGATCTCCAGCGCAAGTGGTGTTGCGTTGGCTGCTCCAGAAGCTCGGCTATCTAAGCAGTTTACGGGGTTTTTGGTTGAGGGTTTAGGGGTTCAGGGTTTAGGGGTTCAGGGTTTAGGGTTTAGGGTTTAGGGGTTCAGGCTTTAGGGGTTCAGTGTTAAGGGTTCAGACTTCAGGGTTTAGGGCGCAAGTTCCCCAGAACAGATTGCTGGAAGCGAGCTCAGCATCAAAGATTTGATCAAGCATGCTCAAGGCTGATGAACTGTTTGTGTTTTGGCGGGCGTTCCCATTTATACTACGGCCCCTTAAAAGTTCCTGAATTTGGCAACCAGCTGACATTACCACCCTGAGCCCTAAACGCGAAGTCCCACACCCTACAGCCCTGAACCCTTAAGCCCCGAAAAAATGACCCTAAACCCTAAACCTTGTCCCAGGCAGAAGATTTCGCCAATTGTTTTCAGCCGCTCGCGGCAACGGCTGGCGGAGGACTTCGATGTCGACTTCCAGCTGTCGGACCGAAACTTGCGTTGTTTGGGGGGATTCGGATTCAGAAGACTTGCAATTACTGTTGGCTTGGGCATCCTTTTGAGCTTAAGATTCAAAAGCTATTGATGAAAGGTTTACGGTGGACGGTGTTTTTATGCTGTAGAAATTGTACAAGGTTCATGTCCTGAAGTCTGCGCGAGTCTTGTGTTTGGCCTTTGGGCCCTTACACAGCTTCCATTGATTCTGAGTTTGGGTCCCTGAGTTTTGACCTGCGTTTTGTCATGAGTTTCGGTTTTAACTTGTCCAAACCCAGCTTGGTGCTTTGGCTCTCCAGACCATTTCTGGCCTTAAACCCTAAGCCACCTAAACCCTAAACCCTAAACCCCTAAGCAGCTATCCAGACCGTTTCTGGGCTTCGGGGCTCTCCTAGACCTGGGCTGGCTTTGGAGCTCTCCACGATTATTTCTGGGCTGGTTTTGGCAACCGTTTTCGGAGCTCTCCCAAGCCATTCCTGGGGACTTTGGGAGCTCTCCCAGACATGCTTGGCTCTTTTGGAAATTTTGGGCTCTCCCAGATAGTTTTTTGGCTTCTTTGGTGCTGTCTTGGGTTTCAGACCATTTGGGGGTAGTTTACTTCAGGCTATTCGGTGCCTGGCTGCTGTTGGGCGGGGCAGCGACCTGGAAACAGCACCAAATCGCTTAAATGAAAGCCAGCGGCAAACAAACTTGCATGTGCGCTTGTGAAAGTCTACAATTTCTATTGTTGTTTGGCTTGAGGGTTTAGGGTCTAGGGTCCCGATGCGGTGAAGGTTCCTCAAGGTATGCCAGAATCTGCCCATCATCACCAGAAATCACCAGTGCCCCTAAGGCCGCCCTAAACCCTAAACCTAAACCCTCTCTACCTAGATATATTTAAACCTTAATAGGGCCGTGTTCTGATTTTGTGGCTTTAGGGTTTTGGGTTTTGAGTTTAGGATTTAGGATTTAGGGTTTAGGGTTTAGGGTTTAAGACCAAAGTTTGGTCTCAAAACCGGATGGAAGCGACATGTTATTATCAGGAAGTTTAAGCCATTGTATCTGGC